AGTATCGCCTCATGGGCTTTAATAAATTTTTGGTTAGTCTTCTATTAAGTAAAAGAGTTAGTCTTAATTTTTATTTTTTATTTTTTTTTGGTTAGTTTTCTACCATTAGATTAGCATCTTTTATGTCTACCCTTAGATCTACCTACACGTTTCAGGACTTCGGGCAATTCGGGCAACCCGAGTTCAAAATACAAAGCTTGGGCCGGGCTTGGGCAACAATGTTCGGGTTCATGGTCGGGCTTGGGCGGGCTTGGGCAGTGCCAAATACAATTCGGGTCGGGCTTGGGTAGAACCCCAACCCGACCGAACCCGCCCGAGTTGCACCCCTAGTTACCTCAAATGGGTGAACATAGCAACTTTAATGATCCCTCAACCTTAACCACGTTGTTGATCCAACGCAGGCTCATGGGTCATGGATCGCTCAGGCATCCCATGACCAAGGCACCAACCCAGAGGGGGTCCCTAGGCCCTCTTTCTGGCTTAGACAGGCTATACAGTGTTAGCGTGCCATTTTTTACTAGAGTGATGGTGGGGCTGGGCAAGGCAAGGCGAATGGCACTGAACATATAGTCGCCAAGCGGTGGTGGGGTGCCAAGGTAAGGTCACCAAGGCAAGGTTCATGCCTTGTCATAGTGTAGCCAACCTCTTGGGTATAATGTTTTGGCCCTGTGGGACACAAGCACCTACAATTAGCAATCGGAAAAAAAAAAAAGAAAAAAAAAGAAATATATAAATAGCTGCAGTCTCAGAAGATAAGGAAAGTCAAGATAGCACAACCTTATAGCAATAACTAAACTCAAAATTGCAAAAACTAATAAGGGATTAAAAAATGCAGATACCAAAAATCTCAATTTATTTAGATTCAAGAAGATATCAAGTAACCTGTGAAGTAAAAATTGTCAAGTGCTGCATCTAATATGAACTGTTAATATTGAATGTGTTTAGTTACTATTACAATCACAATCCGAAGAATACAAAAGCCCAAGTTCCAACTAAAAAACGAAAAATAAAGATAATGGTCACAATATCCAAAACAACATTAACAGAATTCTAGAGATCCTAAAAATATTGTTTGATCTGTCACCGTCACCAAATAATCCTCTATGTCACACAAATTCCAGATGTTTTCCCCGGTTTATTGATTCCTAATGAACCATCATGATTCAAAAATTCCGTTCACCTTTTTCCGCCTAAATTAAAGTAAGTCGCAATCCAAAGGCAATAAGAAACTATCAACATCATCCCAGCCCAATAAGGTCCAAAAACATTTTTTGTTAGATAATGAAGAGTAAACCAACATCCCAGGGAAATAGGTCTATCAATGGTGTGTACACTATGAAGTATGGATATGGATACAAATGAGTTGATACGAAAAATTCTTAAAATAGTAGGATTGATGATATGTGTGCATACATATCATGTATGTATGTGTACATCAATAAAAATTATGAAATATAATAATATTAATACCCGAATTTCAATTGTAAAAAACACAACCACTATTATATATTCCATGTTCAAGATCAAAAGAGCACTTAGGATTATAAACAACAGAACTAATAATGATAAAAATAAAAAATAAAATAAGTTCTCACCAAAACCTAGCTGATCTTTGTAAGACGAGAATGGTTCATCTGTCTCCTTCCTTGGCGTAATATCTTTCACAAGCTCCTGATACGCTTTCCTCTCCGCTACTTCCTCGAGCTTCCTCAGTCTCGCCTTCAATTCCTCACTCTAAAGAGATTCCACAAAAACCACAAACCAAATTAAAAGCATACAGATAAATTTCATAGAATCCAATTAATTTTCTCAGGAAACAAAAGGAGGGGGCATAGAAAACTTTTGCTGACCTTTTCTCTGGGCTTGGGGCTGGTGAAGACGAAATCAGATCCGGAGAATAGGCATAGAAGGTCAGGTCGGGTAGAAGGCAAGGAAGCAAACCAGACGGATCGAAGAGATTTGTAAGGCATGGATGGTTGGACAGAGAGGTCAGAAGCAGTTTTCCGGAGGTCTAGGGACAGAAGAGGGTCATTAGAGGCTGTGATGAGGAATGATCGAATGGTTTCAGTGTTGGATATGATGAGACCGCCGGTCAGGTTTGAACATGGATCACTAGTCATTAGAGAAACTCCAACTTTACTAGCAAAAGTACATAAAAAATTAGATTTTGTATTTTGCCCCAACATCACTATCTAGTTTAGCTAGTCATTCAAACTAACTTAATCATTTTTCAAAATAAAAATGCTACATACACAAAAATCAAAAACCATTTTAAACAATAAGCAGTTACCTAATTGATTTTTACAGGTTTTCCAATAAGAAGTTTAGTTTCAAATTTCAATTAACAGCAAGACAATGAAAATTGCAGATGGGTAAAAGCTCAAAAGTTCAATACATTCATAAAAATCACCTAAATAAATCAATCACAAGCTAAATTTATGCTCAATCAATTGAACAACATAAAATATCACAACAATCACTTTAACAAACCAACCCACAAGTAATATCTTCAAGCAAATTTACAATAACATAACAACCATTTTGCAAAAACAAGTAAAAAAAAATTGGTAAATCATATGTGAGCAAAAGAAATCAATCATAGTGATTCATATGACACCAATCACACATAACTCATGTCCAAGCAACTATAAATATCAAAAATTAAGAATAGAATGTAAAAGAACGATAAGACTCCAACAATTCAAATCCAAAACCATGAGAGGGAGAGAGAGAGAGATCGTCCATACCTAGACTCCAAGTCGCACGAAGAGAGAGAAGATGGCAATGGGGGTTAATGGGGTGGATATTAATTCCCCATCCCGATTCCCCTATAATAAATTTTCCCCATTCCCCATGAGTACCACCATCCCCATCTCCTATCTCCTAATGGGTTTGGATTTTCCCCAACCCACCTTAATCCCCATTTTTTATTTATTATTTTTTTTTATATTTAATGTTAACAACCATTTTTTAAGGTTCACAACAAAAGCTAAATATATTAATGGGTTTGGATTTTCCCCGACCCACTTTAACCCCCATTTTTCCCATTTTTTTTTTTTTTTTTTATATTTAATGTTAACAACCAATTTTTATTTTTTTATTTTTTTATTTTAAGATTCACAGCAAAAGCTAAATATACATTCAATCTTTTTTTTTTTATATATTTTTTTTAAGGTTCACAACAAAAGTTAAATATGCATTCAATCTTATTTTATTTTATTTGGTTCAACAACAAAATCAAATACACATTAATTAATTAATTAAAAAGTTTGTTTTAAAATAATCAAATATATAATTTTGAGACAATCAAATAAGTTTTAGTAATTGAAAAAAAAATGTGAAAGAACGTGGAAGATTAAAAAAAAAATTACAACCATCTCTCTCTCTCTCTCTCCCCTACAATGTTATAAGAACCTATTTACAATGTTATAAGAGCCTGTTTGAAGAAATAAAATGTGAAAGAACCTGTTCAAAGAAAGTGTTATAAGACCCATATTAAATTGCATCAAGACATAAACAAGGAATTGCACATGTATGTCAAAATAATGTCAAAAAACAGAACCAACAAAACAATCGAAAAATATAAGAAGAAAGAAGAAAGAAGAAAAAAGAAAGAGAGGTGAGGAAGAAGACCACCACAACCCTAACACAAAAAGGCTACAGCCTAATATCTCAAAATTTTCATTAATAGTTTGCCAATTGTTTTGGGTTGTAGATTCACTTGATGGGTTTTTCCTAAACAAAATAATCTGCAAGCAAAATTCCATGAACTGAGATTCACATAGATGAAACTCCCTAGTCACTCTGTCTTCATGTTGAGAAAGAGTAAGAAAGATAAAACAAGGTCTATAATCTTTCATCTAATTCTACAATTCCATGAACTGTAAAATGATAGAACAGAGATAAAAATCCTAGTTAATCTGTTTTCTGGTTGAGAAAAAAATCCTTAATCTTTCATCTAATTATACGATATTCGTACATTTTCATCATTCCAATGCGTGTGAAAGACAGTAAAACAAAGACCATTGTTGCAAATGATTATCAGGATACATAGTTCAATCTATCCTCCTAACCAAATACAGCAATATATATATATATATATATATATTAAAAAATACTTGATGGAATGTGTTTAAGAATATGCCTCAACCATTGTTGCAAATGATGGTAAACCAGAACCACCACCATGGTTCAATCAAGTGTCTTTTGTTCTCTAAATTCATATTACTTTTTGAAGATACTTTTATTATATTTATGTTTTCTGAATTCATATTACTTTTGCAGATATATTATATTATATTATATTCTACACTTGGTTGACAATCAAAATGTGTGAAATAGCAAGTCCAGTTTGTGATTTTGTTGCAATCCCACTTGCAAGAGACCTAGGCTGGACACCCAGCACTCATTCACTCACTCACTCACTCACTTTCCAGGAAAATATTTGCATTGGCCTTTTAGAACCTTACATTGTTATACATTTTAGTCCTAATTAATTAATGATGATGACTATCATATGTCAAGGGCTGCCTTGGATTTTGTATGAAGATTAAGGTTGTGTTTGGATTAGTAAAATTAACATAAGAGGATTTTTTCAAAAAAAGAAAAAGAAAAGGAAAAGTGTATGCTTAACTATTTCACTTCCAGCTAATCAATTTCAGCTAGTCCCTAATTTACTTTAACAATAACTTCTACAATTCATTTGAATTAAAAAGGGTTTTGTTCAATTGCATTTTATGTATAACTCTGCAAAAGTCCCAAGAAAATAGATAGATAGTAAATAAATTTCATCTTCCACATGAGAAATCAAACCTAACAATCTCCAAATGCATCATAATTCACAAATGATTTAAATCCATAGCTCTAAACAACATTGAGTTAAAATTTCCAAGAATTAAAGCAACAACTCTGTGAAGCTAACCGTATTTTCTGCCGATTGATGCGTAAATCTCTTCGACAGGTTTCACCAATTGCAAAAGAGTGCCACCAGCGTCCAACAACAATGCATCATATGCTCTCTTAACCAACCTCCCTGAGAAAGGGGGGAGACCAAAATAGTGCTGTTTGGAAGCTGAGAATAAGGACATAGCCTGGGAGGACCTTGGAACTAAAGGCTCTTTTTGCTATTTTGTATTTAATGTTCGTTCAAGCCTAGGGCTTTATGTGTACAGAGCTTATGATTCTCTCTTTTGTCGTAACCAAGCAATGTCTTGGAAAGATGTAAGCCTATAAGGCATTTATTTTTGTTGATCAATAACTGGTATTACATGCTTTAGATTCAGGATGAACATTTATGAATGTATATTGCATGTATTATCTTTTGTAAATGAACTCTGATGAATGAAAGTATTTTATTTCTATTATTCTTTCGCTTATGAGTTGATTTTATCGTATTATTTTGGGGGCGTTACATATTCAATCTTAAGATAGATAATTTATTCAAAATTTCCAAATGTGAGAGGTAATACATATCCAACTCCACCATCTATTTCAATATTCGTCCAATTTCATA